CTTCTCCTTCTGTTTGCTGAATGGGCCAGTAAAAAAAAAAAAATGTACCGGAGATAATCAGTCAAGGGGAGAAAGCCCAGACTGTACTGGAAACAGGATTTTTTTTCCGAATGGAATTGGACAAAAATTCTGTAATGCAACTATTTCGGCACAGAAAAATAATACACCATGCAATGCCATATTACTATTCAGTTCCTTTTCTACTGATAATATCATTTAGTCAGAAAAAGAACCGATTTTTGAGCTTCAGCTTGGCCAAATCGAGCTTTCAGTCACCAGCCAGTTTCATAGTTAATCTCAAAGAAATACAAATGCACATCTAAAATACAGGCGTACAATGTAGTCTCTTGTTTTGTTCATTGCAGCACCAGTGGCAGCAGCTAACCACCAAGTTATTAGTGACTCAAGCCTTTGTTGAGATGTAATGAACCTCTACCTTTACACTCATCCATATATCTTCTGACTTTTGTTGCTTTCTGTTTCGCACGTAACACTGGAGGGAGTCAGAGAAAAGCACCCAGGGCTGGGTGACTTGTGAAACCGCACCACATCCAGGCTTTGAATTATGGATCTGCGGTGGGTGAGAGCGGCGCTATAATCAGCAGGATGGCCAACCAAGTGATCCCTGCTGCTTTAATGAGCGGGCCAGCAGGTGCTGTTGATCAGCTATGAAAGGCGTGGCTGCGGTGCATCGTCGCACCCTGATGCGTTTTTATGCTGTTTTGAAAACTCCATCACACTAATTGGTTTCATGTCAGTGCATAAGCAAGCTGTTGTTTGACTTTGGCTTCTTGCAAGTATATGAATATTTTAGGAGTGGCTTTTTTACAAATACATGCAGTGACCACTTTGTTTTGTTTGCTTCAGGGGTAGAGTTCAGTGGGGTCATGACTTGCATCTAAATGAAAGTCATGATGTGCAACGGGGCTTTGAGTCAAAAAGTCCCTTCTCGTTTTACGTTGTTGCACTTCTTAATGCTTTAGGGTTTCTGACCAGGACTATAGATTCGCCTGTTTTGTCTTTTCATGTAAAAAAAAAAAAAAACAGTTTGAATACGTCTGACTACGTGCAGTGGAGACATAGCACATCAAAAAGAAACATTGTGCAAGGTTCTTAGTCTGAGGGAGTAATTCTTGAATTCAACAGAAAATGGACTTGAAGGATTTGATTGATGCATAGATGCAATCATTATACAATTCCCTAAAAATATGCATTGCAGTTTATGTTGTTTCACATGTTATAGGGTGGGGAAAAAATATTATATTTTTCAGTACTTGACCTGTTTAATTGAAAGAAAATCAACAAAAGAAGATTGTCAGCTATGAACAAAAACTGAAAACTGGTTTGCAGCCAAAAAACAAAACAAAACAAAAAAAACTCTCGTTAACATCTATCTCATAAAGCTTTGATCTTGCTGATCTTTGAGAGAATATGATCTGAAACCTGAACCAGCTAACAAGTGACTGCTCCTGAAAGAGTAGCAACAGCAGTGGACTTCATTCATGTTTTCTGCCTGGATGAGTTTAATTATCAAATTAGTTCTTGTTCCAATTAATGCTTGTCTACTTGATTTATAAAGTAAAACAGGCAGCAATAAAATTTGAGAAAATATATATTTTTATATATTTTGAGTTATGTTTAGTTCTGTTGAAGTCATTATTTAGTTCCAAAAAAGAGTTTATTCTACAAAACTACTCCCAAGTTTCATACTGGTTGTAGCATTTGCTTACCACCAGTTTACATCTCACAGGCACTGACTATAGCAAAGGAAATAAATAAAAAATGGATACCAGCACTCAGTCAAAATATTGTATTTGTCAACATTCAATATTCATTTTTGGTTTGAGGATGGATAGGATTTTTAATCTGTAACAAAATATCTTTAGGGTATCAGGTCATCTTTTCACCCAACTGCTTGAAGTGACTTTATTTTTGGCCAAAGGCCATAAAATGGCTTTTATTTTTTAGATCATTGTGCTCTGAATAAAGTGATGTTCTCCTGTCATCCACTTAGTCATGGATTATGCCATTATGTCTTATTTATGTCTAAAGAAGACATGCTTCATTTTTACTCTGTGTCCAATAGCACATGTTTTCATTTAGCTGCATGAGCAAATGACATGTAGGAAATTTATCATCACAGCTTACCTTGTCCTTTACATGACTTAACTCTATGTTAATTCCAAACACCAGGTCCTGACCTGTACTTCACCCTTGACTTTATTTCTCAGAAGCTTCTTAATACTGAACACAGAGTACTTTAAAGGGCATCTGCATGTGTTGAAAACTTCTGCGAGGTCAGTTCATTCCTGGCCTTAAATCCCCAGGGCACATTCCCAGACGTCCAAGCAGTGTGATCAGAGCCAGCCCCTTAGAGTTTTATCAAGCGACTTAAGAAAATTAGAGATCTCATATCTTCCTATACACCAGCTGTTACACGTGCATGTTCACGGAGGGAGCTGTGGAGGCAGCGTAACTCAAGAAACACAGGTGACAGATGGGAATAGAGGTGTTATCAACACCCTGAGTAGCACATGATTTTTTTTTCCCCAGAGCATCCACATAGACAAAAGTGTGTGGACATTTGATACCTGCATCACTTGCAGTTATGTAAGAATGCTGTTGCATGCTCATCAGCTTCCTTAAGGAAACTCAGGGATACTGATACTTTTCACAAAACATGCTGAAATTGAGAAGTAGGGCTGCACAATTTCAGAAAATATTGAATTTGATACTTTTGATGGAAATGGAAATAATCATATTGATTATGACTAACACTCATTTTCTTTACCCTTTTTCAATGTTCTAACCCATCTCCATAAGCTCTTGCTTTTCAGCCACTAAAAAATACACCTATTGTATGGGCGTCAAGGAAAAAGAAAGCTTTCATTTTTCTGTGAGATCTGAACACATTTGTGGTTCATTGTGATTGTGAGACCATAAAATCAAGACTTTTAGCAGAGAACAGGAGGGGTTAGTTGAGTACTGCAACGTTGCACTGGTTAGTCAGTTTCAATGCTTACTCTCTCATTTTTATCCAATTTCAGCAGTGTTATCAAAGGCATGCTGTTGTTTGTGAACCATATTGATTTTGCTGAGACCAAAAAGCTTCTGACCTTGTATTTTAAAACAAATGTCTCTTTGTTCTCATAACTTTTGTTATGAAATTAAATTAGAACTCGGTCATCTCTGCAGCTCCAAGCATAAGGAATAGGAAGAAAACCATAATGAGAATACCACTTAGTCCTTCTCTCTTTTGCTTCTTCTGTGTTGAAATCGATGTTGCTTTGTCTTTTCAGTCCCTCCTCATTTCCTCTTTCTCTTTTTCTCAAGTGCTACATCCTCCTCTCCCGTTCACCTTTTTACTGATTACAGCCTGTGTGAGTTTTCCTTGGCCCTCCGCCTTTATTCGTTGTTGTCAGTTTATTAGAAGTGAAATGTCTGCTCTTGAATTTCAATTGAGAGGCTTCAAAGTGAGCTGCTCGATGGTTAGGGCGTCATATCAAACAGGCCGTGTGCTTCGGTGTTAGAAGGGCTCCGAGGACTCTCGGGGTCTGCTGCTGAACAAAGCTGACCAGCTAATCACACCAGGTGAAGTCCCAGCTGCCCCATCGTTCTGCAGCATCTAAAGTGAGGACAGAAGGCTTCCTTCTTTTTATTGGCCCTGTTGTCCATCATACGCCACGTGAAGGGCAGTTTCTTCCATTAACTGTAATATTTCCATCTCACTTGCACCTACTCTGACAGACATTGATCAACACTTTTTATTTATTTATTTGTTGGATATGTAGTGCACTTCTCTGGTGCGCAGCTTTCAGAGGCGAGAAAACAAAAGGTTCCGTATTAGACAAAGGCTCTGTCAAGCAGCACAATCAGAACAACTTGACATTTCATTTTCTTCATAATCGCATACATGCTGTGTGCCAGTGCTGTCGAGGCTGTGTCTGACACAAGGATGCTTTTTTACTTTTGTTTGACATTCAGTTTTCTTTTGTTTTTGAAAGGCCGTAGGTCATAATGTGTATAACTTTGTTATTTGATCAGAAAAAAAGGGAATGCCTATTTGCAATTTATTTGTTTTATAAGATTTCTCTGTTCTTTCTGTAAAATACGGTTATATGTGACATTTACTGTGGTTTCAAAACCTTTTTAATCATGGGAAACTGCAGAAATAACAATTTGTCCTGTTTGTTAAGCCCTGTCCTTCTATTTGTTCTTTCATTTTTATTCAACATCCTTCCAGCGTGATCAGAAAGATAACTTTTGATTAGTGAAAGAGTAATTTGTGATGTCTGTACTCAGGGGGTTTACTTAGAGACTGTCGAGTACCTCTATTAAACTGAAAAAAAAAACCCAACAGTGACTGAATTTACTGAAAATTGAATGCACTTGTTTGTACTTTTGGAGGAACTAATCACATTTGCAATCTTCCAAGCAAATGAGTTGCGAACCATTAAGACAGCTGTTGCTGATGACTGTGTTAAGTACCGCGACTCATTGCAGTCTCATTGACGTTTACATATTTACACCATATACAAAGCGATTCACTAGAACATCTGGGAAAAAAATCTGTCATTGAAAATAACTGGCCCTTTCACTCTCCACTATAGACGTGCTTTTGAAGTTTCATGTTTACACTGAGATCTATTCAGCATTCCTATTCAGTCTGGAAAGTGTAGAATGTGGTCTAACTAATATAGAAAAAGGTAATATGATATCATTTAGATGACATCATCTAAATGATATCATCTATCATTTAGATGATAGTATGCATCCTATCATCTAAATGTTTTAGTCAGCCATCCATTCATCCATGACAATTCCTGTGACATAATTTTCAATGATTAGTTTAGTAAATTAAGATCAAACTTGCTCATTAGCTCAGCATTACAGTGTAACTGACAAAGACACACGCCATCAAGGATAATTAGGCACCCAGATGTCAAAGTGGGCTTTGACACCACACTCACTGAGTCTTTTTCATTCCTCATTATTATTAGATGGTGGTTCTGATGGACCCTATGGAAGATCCAGATGACATCCTGCGTGCCAACCGCTCCAGGGAGAAGACTTACATGTTTGACGTGGCATTCGACTTCTCGGCTAGTCAGGTTAGTTAGAGAAGAGAGTTCACCTGAATCATAAGCTGAGTAAAGCTCAAATAAATTAGCAACATTTTAATGTGTTTTTGTTCCTATCATTATTTCTTCTTGGTTTCCTCCCCATTTGCAGGAAGAGGTTTACCGCGCTACAACCAAAGGGCTCATTGAAGGCCTCATATCAGGCTACAATGCCACGGTGTTTGCCTATGGACCCACAGGTTTGTGTTTAACTCTTGTCTGTGTGTGTTCAACAAGACCTAGCCAGACATCTAGGCCGTTATTCTCGAAGCACATGTATTATTATGCTGACCCTCACTATGCCATCAGCCTGAATTAGTCAGCACCCTCGCTGGAAGATGAAGTGAAACCTTTTGGAGAGCTATTTTTTTTTGTATTCAGCAAAGGTATAATGAGAAAATGAGTCATGCTTCGCCTGTAGTGGAAGTAAAAGGCTTACAAAGACTTTTTAGGCTGGCAAAGACTAGTTGAGCTAGGGAAGATATTCAAATAGCAACCTTTTAGCGAAAATAAGTCAATATGCAACAGTAAACTTGTTAAAGTTAAAAAACTTTAACGTCTTAAAGAGACATGAGCCAATTTAAAGGCATCAGATACAACTGAAGCTAACGTAGTTACTTGATTGTGCTATAAAATGGCACTGTGTGTCTAGAAAAATACATAATACTCCCCTTTAAGCATTAAGCTTGCAAATCTTCCTGTGCCAGAAAAAATGATTAGATATTTTCAAAGCAACATTAATTTCTTTGTGCTCCTTGGAGCCCACAATCTGCATAATACCCTTTAATATACATATTGTGGAGTAAACTAATCAATAATTGCTTGAGCTTAAATCCCTTTTTTTCCCTTGTTCTTGTTCTTGGGTTCTTCCCAACTTGTTCTTGTTCTTCTCAAGAACAAGAACAAGTTGGGAAGAACTGCTCTTAGCACTTAACAAATAAAATGTCCTGCTTTGTTTCAGGTTGTGGGAAGACATACACCATGCTAGGCACTGACAAAGAGCCAGGAATCTACGTTCGCACACTGAATGACTTGTTTCGTGCCATCGAGGAGACTAGTGATGACATGCTGTACAGCGTCTCAATGTCCTACCTAGAGGTAAGTCCTTTATCTGCAAGGAAGTTCAGAAACATTACTTCCATTTTACAACCATCAACTTACATATATTTGTTTTAACCCACATAGTATAAATGCTATGAAAAACTGTAAATGTTTTGCTATCATTACAAGCTTAAATATGATCAAAACAATGTCCTTGATGTCCAACTTTGAACACTAAGTGTTTTACTCTTTGTGTTGCTTTTGCTGAACTGCTGTTTCTGTCATCTTGTGCCTTTGAACAGTTTTTTTTCTCCCCTTTTTGCCTCGGTTTGTCTGTGGGTAATTAGCTGTGGATGAATCTGGGGACTGATTATGCTCATTTTTCTGTGTGCCTGCTGGACTCAGCTTCACACCTCATTAAAGACAAGCAGGAACAGCTCAACTTAGTTCCCTTAACAGCACCAGATACAATGAAGCTGGTTCATTTGTGTCATAGAGGTATAACTTTGCAATGCTGTGAGTGGTCTCTTATTTTCCGGCATAAGCACTGAAGAAGATAAAAAGACCCTTTCAAATGCAAGAGTTTATTGCATTTCTTTTTCTTTTGCTTTTTTCTCTCTTCTGTCAATGAAGAGCTATATTTGGTGTTCTGAACATTTCCCAAAACCTTTCCTAAACGATTTTTATTTGTTAAGCAATGCCAAAAAAAAAGCATTAGTTATATACTAGTCCCTTAAGTGCAGTTCCAAATACCAGTTTGTAGGATTAGTGCAACATGGATTTCCAAGAAATACGAAGAAGTCTCTCAATGAATCTAGATGAAGTTTTGAGAAACACATAAAAACCGACTTGCCCAAATGACACAAATATTTAAAACATTAAGATAAATCCAAAACTCTTCAATAGACTCCCTTTAAAAATTGTTTTTTTCTTTTTTTTTTTTTTTTTTTTTTTTGCTAAATTCAGTATTTTTCCAGTGTTGAGAATATCTAAGTGCAGGCCTCAGAACTTGAATGAATATCCGGGCTCCAGATGGAGATATCCTTCCCATTTAGTTTGGGAACACCTGCATTCTCTGTGAAAAGGATAACAAGAAAAAATACAAAATCGCTGTCAAGATGTGGCAAAAGCACTGCATCATCTGTCCTTCTGAGAGTTGAATCAGCGTGCAACTGTTTTCAAGAAGAAATGCTGAACACAATAATTCAACAACCTGCACTTACCGAACCAAAAACACTGTCCAACCGAGTAACAAGCTTACTGTGGAACAGCACGTAAAGTTCCGCCCTGAGAGGCAGCATAACTTGACAGTTAGGTAAGAGTAAAGTGTGTCATCAATTTATCTTGGGTTGTCTTTTAAAGTTTTAACTTTATTACCAAACTTGACCCTAAAATTAAGTCAGGCATTTAGAAAATCTTAATTACTAATAGTTATATTCAGTGTAATAGTACGGGTGGGATTTAAAATGCGTCATGGTTATTCCCATGTATCGGATGAAAGCTTTATTCTTTTACATTTTAAGGAACTAAACATAATCAAAAACCTGAGTTTGGCCTGTTGTTACACTTTGACTTTTTGTCATGAAAAATAATTTCCATAATAATGCTGATCTTAACCCTGCCTTCTTTTAGTAAAAGTTACTATAAATGTATTGTTTGGTCTGTACAAAATTGGTCTTGATTGCTTATCCAACCCAATACGTCCAACAGCTTCATAACAGATATTGACTGAACACAAGTGAATGTCATTTTCAAGGCTTGTGAAAGACCCTGGCGACTTGCTAGACAGGCTTTTGACAAGCCCGAGAGATTTCAGATGTCTGGAGCGTCTTTATTTGTTTCTCCATCATCTACTTGTCCTCGATCACTTCAATCCGTTCGTACAGAGTCTGGAGGTCTGTTTGATTCTGTCTGAGGAAGCAGGTATGGAATACTAACTAGATTTATAACGAAGCCATGTTTACTGTAGAGTATCAACAGAATTTGCTCCATTCTCTGGCTGTCAAGAATAAATTGGAGTAGCAAAAGTACCTTAATGACAAAGTCTAACACTAAGAGCAGTCAGCTTTCAACTGAAAATCAAAGTGGCACAAATAAAGCACTTGTCTCGCACAATTTCAACCTATTGGAGGGGTTTTTGCATTTGGCACCAAAATTGCGGCTTTTGTTTTCACTGCCAGCCGCTGTCATTATGAACACTGAGGGACAAATTTATTGCTGCGTAGCTTTTTAGTTTCTCTTTGAGTGGGTGGGAGTGAAATTCTTTTCCATCAAAATGTCAGAAACTGCATGTAGAACAAGCTTTCTGACCTGCATTCGTTTTGCAACTTTGAATCCTCAAATGACTGCGTGTGTGACGTGTGTGTTTGCTGTTTCCAGGGAGCAATCTGTTAGTGCCGCCGCCTCATAGCGAAGAGGTTAAATGGCATTTTATGGACGAATTGAGCAAAGTGCACACGTCTGTTGCTTCTCTTGTTTGGATCTCGTTTTCTGTCACGTGTGCAATCACTACAGCACATGCACAGGAACGCACCAATACATCCTACAGTTCTTCCTCATTTATTTCAGAATGCAATATCTGGTACCCGATTTAAACTTCTAAGTTGTCTGCTGAGCACATCTTTCAGAGCTGGTAGCATCACGTTATACCCCAAACTCTTTTACGCTCTATCTGAAGTGAGAGTTGGGGAAGTAAAATAAAAACATAGCCAATATTAAGACGTCAGTGTGAATGACAGCATACTGCTATAGTATGCTTTTGGCTAAGACTGAGTTTGGCAGTAAGTTTGTCCTAAAATTTCTGGCTGTCATCCTGTGGTCACTTTTCAGGATCTTGTTTCAGCTTTCAACTGAATGTGTCTTGAAAGGTTTAAATTATTTTATCATTGTCCCAAATGTTCTTACACTGGTGTGATAATATCATACCTGGATCCAGGATATATTTGAACTGTTGATTTTTGTCAGTAACTCCATTCTGATAAAAAAAAAGAAAACCCTGACATGATACAATACGTTATATAGAGAAAAAAAATAATTAAATCACTAATTCCTCTCAATTTTGATGTTTAAGACTTTCAGCTAATGACAAATTTTTCCAAAAATTGTTTGGTACATCTTGTTTTAACTTGTCCCATGTCCTTTTCAGTGGTTTTGTAGTTGTTATTGTTATATATAAGTATGTTGTTAGTCGCTCTGGTTTTATTGGTTGTCTTTTTTCTTGTCTGGAGCCTTGAATGGAAAAATAGTTCCATCCAGGAAATTTTTTTTTTTTTTTTCAATAGTGGTAGTTTGTTTACATTTTCTCTCTAACTAACTTAATGAGTCACAAAAAAATGATACTTTTCTGTTCTAACTCTGGATGTTCTGGTTCACATCTTTAGATGTCCAACGTTACTTGAAAACTTCTCTTCTCTGTTTTCGTTTTCCCAAACTCTCTTTTCAAACTTAATCATAAATATCTAATTTTATGCCATTCAAACTATGCCTTTAATCTCAAGAGAGACACTAAGGAATTGTTTAATGATATTAAAACCTTAAACCAACGTGGATTATATTTTAAACATTTATATTAAAGAAAGAAACCATTTTATCCTCTTCTACCAGTTCGCAGAAATACTGGTACAGCTTGCTATTGCGTTTGGCCTTGTTTATCGAAATATTTGATTATAAAATATGTGCTCCAGGTGTAAGTAATTTGATGCGGAGTAAATTTCCACCGGGATAAATATGCAGAATTTGATCACTTCTTTGAATGTGTTATGGATTCATTCCCCTCAGAGATAATTATTATTTTTTGTTTGATTTTTGAGATTATCAATCTTTTTAAATTACTATTCTATATAGTAGTATTAAACCAGCTACACCATATGCTTAAAAAATAACAGTAGTAGTCCATTTTTGTGTGTACCAGCAATTAATTTGAGTTTTGTTATTGAATTGAATTGCAGGGGAAAAAAATGCTTATTGTATTCTTATTACATGTACACATTCCAACTGATTAATCCTGTCTGAAGAATGTTTTATATTTCTATCTATATATTTACAGATCTACAATGAGATGATCAGAGACCTGCTGAACCCATCTTCAGGTTTCTTGGATCTAAGAGAAGACTCTAAGGGTGTGATTCAGGTTGCAGGCATCACAGAAGTGTCGACCATCAACGCCCAGGAGGTGAGAGGATGCCCTGTGCGGTTTCATCGCACGGTTAAAAAGCTACGAACACTCCTGACTGCCTCACTCGTGTCTCCTCAGATCATGGAGTTGCTAATGAAGGGCAACAAGCAGCGCACGCAGGAGCCAACGGCCGCTAATCAGACATCGTCTCGCTCCCACGCTGTGCTGCAGGTTGCCGTCAAGCAGCAGAGCCGTTGTCGTGACGTTTTGCAGGAGGTCCGCTTCGCTCGGCTTTTCATGATTGACCTCGCCGGCTCAGAAAGAGCTGCTCAGGTGGATAGATTTGTCGCTTTGTGCTTGTATTTAGATATCTTTTGATAACGTTAAGTTCAAAATTCAAGGTCCTTCTACTCTTTGAATGTGATTGAACATGCTTAGTATGCGTAGCATACGCTTCTACATCGCTTCTACATCTAAACCGGAGACTCCCCTTAACGTTGGCTTATTTTGCAATTTCACTTTTCAAGATGAACATCATTTTATGAGGGAGACTACAGTGCCTTGCAAAAGTACTCATAGCCTTCAAAGTTTCTGAAGTTACACCGACAAGGGTCAATGGATTTTACTGGGATTTGTGTAATAAATGATCACAAGTAAAAGGATAATTTTTTACATTTGGATATTTTTTATATACAATATATGAAAAGTGTTGTATTATTTTCCCATTATTCAGATTTCCTCCTTAATCTCCCTCCAGAAAAAAAAAAAAAAAAACATGAATTCTACCAATTGTGTGAAAAAAGTAATGCACTATTTTCTGGTGGTCTTTGCAAAACGCTGCATGAACCACTCAGATTATTAAATGCATATATCAGTAGTGTCAACTTTGATTACACTTATGTGAATCATACTTCAGAGTTTTCCCAGTGACTGGGAAAACTCTGACTTCCATTTCATAATCTTTAATACGTCCATTTCATCAAATTTATTGGGCAGCTGTAACAGCTAGTAATTATTCTTTTTATTGCTTGGCTGTTGTAATTTCTCGTTCAATCTTAGCAACATCACAGTTGAGGGGCCAACTCCCATAATGTAGAATTACATGATCCGATATTACCTAGTACATTTTGCAACAACTTTATGATAAAAAAAATTAATCTCTCATTCTTTTAGATCCCGAAAGTGAAGTAAATCCTCTCGTTTAGTCCGATCCCCTCCTGCAGGCGATGTCGGTCACGATGTCCTGCATGAGATCCTCGTTGTATGTTCTGCAGGCTTCCTCGACCACAAACAGGACTCCAAATTATTGTTAAAGTTGCTGCCCGTCATCCAGGCTGATTTAATACAAAGTGTTTCCCCTAGAACACCGACAGTCACTCCACTCAAACACTCTAAGCTTATCTACCTTTAGTTTCTCCTCAACAACATGTTACTTGGCTCCAAAAAGAGACCTTAGCAGATGTTACATTTGCGATCAGTGGAAGGGAGATTCAGAACCCAGACGAAACAGACCAAGCCTTCTCTGTCATTTTGCACAGAAACGGAGAAAACAAAAAAGTCAAAGCAAATTTATCTGTAAAAGAAACATTTTTTTTTAGATGAAACTTCAAGCTCATAGACAAGCCTTGTTGATGTTTCGGTGGGCTGGCTGTTAGCTTTATTCCAGTCAAGGCTGGGACAGTGTGCTCACATCCCTCAGGTTTGAGTTATTTCTCCTTTTAATTCCAAATTTCTAGTCCGGAGACTGTTCCTTTCACCATTTTACTTGCACTGATCTATTACCATTTTCCTGCTTAGAATATTTTTATTGGAAAGGGGTTCACTGAATCCTTTTTACTTTCCTTACAAATAAGCAGCCAGACATCTGTTTATTTGAGTTATGAAGGTCTGTCAAGCTCTGTGATTATAGTGAGGGCTTTTCAGACTCACCCTGCAGTTTCAGATGCAATGTATTTGGTAGCGCCTTCCTGTTTTGGAGGACGTCACTCAAAATGCTCGTTTTGTTTCAGAGAAGTATTTCATGACTACTTATATGCTTCAAAAATCCAAAACAACTTCTTTTGTTTTTCTGGCTTTGAAATATGATACGATCCTTGTTTGATCTAAATGTGGCTAAATCCAAATGTATTTATGAAGTATGTGCCTTATTTTTCTCTCAGTAAGAAAAATGTGTTTCACTGAAGTGAGGTGAAATTGTTCAGTCTTGGTCTTCTCTTTGACTTTTCGTCTCTACCGCATTCACCATATAAATAAAATCTCCCTGGTACTAGTTGGATGCCTTTTGTTGCTTGCTATTCCCAGTCTCCCTCTAGCTCCTTCTACTGAAAGCTTTCATCTGACCCCCGTCACAGGGACAAAGTGATAAAAACCCCTGTGAGTTCAGAGGTTTTCTCACCCATCGATCTCTGCCTCTTTCAGACCCAGAATAGAGGTCAGCGATTGAAAGAAGGAGCTCACATCAATCGCTCCCTCCTGGCTTTGGGCAACTGCATTAACGCCCTGAGTGACAAAAATGGCAACAAGTACGTCAACTATCGAGACAGCAAGTTGACGCGCCTCCTGAAGGTACCTCAGTTGAGAAAAGATTCCTTTCTTTATACAGTGCCTGGCAAAAGACGCCACGCATTTGCACAGAATTCAAACAAGCTCCTTTGATAGACCGAGACAAAGTAGTGCCGAATTGTGAGCTGCAAATTAACAATCTGAAAAGTGTGCGGCACATTTGTGTTTCTACGAGGATTGACTCTGGCGAGTAGAATGCAAATGTTTTCCACACTTTTCAAATTTTTAGTTAAAATATTTTTTAAAACCAAGTATAATTTTTCTTCTACTTCACAGTAATGCATTATTTAGTAGTATTAAATCTTAAGACTGGACCTATAAAACACACAAAAAATGTTTAAGCCACTCTGTCTGTTATATTCACGAAAATGTGTCTCATATTTCAATGACAGGACTCATTGGGTGGGAACAGCAGAACGGTGATGATAGCCCATATTAGCCCCGCCTCTACAGCTTTCGAGGAGTCTCGAAACACGCTGACGTACGCTGACCGTGCCAAAAGCATTCGAACACGGGTAAACTTTTATTTCGCCCTAATAAAGGCTCACCTTGAAGTGGATTGGATTTTTTTCCCCAGACATATTGTTTCCCATCACTGTTTGCTTTAGGTGAAGAAGAACCTAATAAATGTGTCATACCACATTGCTCAGTACACAAACATCATCTCTGACCTCCGCTGTGAAATCCAGCGGCTCAAAAAGAAGATTGCGGAGCAGGCGAGCCGGCAGGTCGGCTCAGACCGAGCTGACATCCGAAACGTCCAGGGTAAATTTGACCGTCTCGACTTTAAACGAACAAAAGTCACATAACTCAACATCTGTTGAAAACTGTGTTCATGTTTCTTTCTTCCTTTATTTGTCTTTGTATTTCCACTGTCTTTCAGCGGAGGTCCAAGCCCACTCCAGCCAGCAGAGCAGAGCAGAGATGGACGAGTTGAGGGAGCAGCTTCTGGATGCTTTCCGGCAGCAGATGAAGATCAGGAAGAGTCTGATCGAGCTGGAGAACAGCAACATGGAGATCCAGATCGACACCTCTAAACACCTCGTCACCATTGCAGAGTCAGTCGGATTTCTGCTGTTTCACCGCAGAGCACACCTGTCATTTAAAATCTAACAATCCAGATTGTCACATTTTAGCAGCTGTTTTCCAGTTAATATTCATAATTCTCAATTCTCCGCTCGGGGGTTTAAATAGACTCTTATTCTTGCTCTGGTCTGGTTTAATTAAAATAATTAGTGCACAGTAAGTGTTTCTCTGTAGCTATTTCATGTTATTAACTGTTAACAGTGAAGCAAATCTACTTATGAATTTCCTTGACTAGAAAGTCTATTCAAAGTAAAGAATCATTGGAAGCTTTAGAACATGTAACTGCAACTGTCGCTAAAAACCTTTCTAACAATATACACATGTATTATGTGCCCTAGCTGGGAGCAGGAGCAGAGTAAGCGCAGGAGAAAGTGGCGCGCAGAAAGAAGGAAGGAAAGTGTCAATAAAGACGAAAGTGAGAAGGATTCGGATTCTCCAGAGTCTCCCCCAGACAGCACAGAGACCCGGGAGGTAGCAGTGGCTCGGGAAAACCTACTCACCCTCATGGCCGAGCAGAAGAAGATTCAAAAGCAGAAGGTTTGCTTCTTCAAAATGTTAGGATTGGAATACATTCTGACGTTCTCCCGTACTGACTAAAAATAACCTCTGATTGAAGGGTTTACTGGAGCAGAGGTTTCTGGAGCTCCGGGATCGAGGCCGGCGCCTGGAGGAGCTCCTTCCTCGCAGGGTGAGCTCAGAGGAGCAACGCGAAGTCCTCGGCCTCCTCTGCAAGGTCCACGAGCTGGAGATCGAGAACGCGGAGATGCAGTCCCACGCTCTGATCAAAGACAACGTCATCCGGCAGAAAAACTTTGTGGTTCAGCGCTTTGAGCAGCACAGACACCTATGTGATGAGATCATTCAGCAACAGAGACAATTCATAGATGGTAATTTACTTTTAAATCATTACGCTGTGTTTGACCTTTGCGTTGGACTCGTCTAAAGATTTTTCAGTCGTCAGTTGAAAAATGCATGTGTGCTGTGTGCATTTCTCACAGATTATTAACCCTGACAAGAAATTACAAGTTGCAACCCTGTGACTTCATGCACAAAGGCTTGATTGGCGACATGGCATACGCTTGAATAGAAAAACTTGCCCACACACACGAAAGAAAACCCCCAGATGTTTAAAACTACACAGGGGCCCATATCCAAACATATTTTTTCTTGACTCAAGGTTGACTGGCATAGATCAATCCTCCAGCTGTATAGGTACAGACAGCCTCAGCCTCAAGCACACAGCTCCATCAGGATTATTCTTGACAACTTAAAGTGGCCAGTAATCAAATTTTCATCTCGGGCCAGAAAATAATCTCGGTTTCTCGAAACTGCTGCACCATCTGGGTGGATGTCCGCTTTAGAAGACATTTGATAAGACAGTTTTATCGGGATGTTAGTTGTTAAAGATTCGTTTTCAGCACTCACAAATCATCCTGTGAGAGTTTCTGCTACTCATCCGTACTGAGTGTGCAACCCTTTAAATGCCTGTACATAAAACTAGCTTATAGCACCCATGTACATGTCTCCCTCTGCATGTTTTAGAGCACAGCCTGCTTGTACCACCGCACCTCCAGGAACTATATGAGGCGTACATGAGGGAGCTGGATGAGAGGAAGCTGGAGAGAGCTGTAGCCTTGGACAAGGTGACCAACAGACAAACCATCAAGGTGACAGTGTCATGTTGAATCAATTAGTCAAGATGCTTAGATATGAATTAAACTGGCAGGACAAATTACGAAGGCGTTTTCTGTATTCTAATTTGCAGGAAGGATCTTTACCAAAGATCTCTCTGCCGGGTCAAGGTCGCGATTACACACAGGACGTAGATTCCGACCAGGAGAGCTTACGCGACATGTTCGCAGAGAACAGACGAGGTCAAGCTAGAATGCGCAGACACACCTTACCCCCAATTCTCCCTGAAGCTGAGCCGTAAGAGGAGATCATTTTCTTATTCTTTACTCATAACATGCATTTAAAAGTGCATTTTGCTCATTGACTTGATTTCATATTTTCTCTTCCTCAGGGACAGGGTGTTTAAAAGCAGTCCTCACGCCAAGCAGATAAAGAACTCGGCTGTAATGACCCCTCCTCCGATACACATAAATGGGAAAGGCAACAGAGAGGTAAGGACAATTCCTATACACCAGCTACTCTGCTTTGTTTCAGGTAATAATCCTGAGAGGTACCGCTCAGTAAATTATATTATCAAAAATGTTATGTATTTCAGTGATTCAGTTCAAAATGAGAAAGTTTCATATTGCATCAATTTATATAAACATCAAGAGTTCCTAAGAAAATTAATTTACAGAAATAAACACTTAATATACTCCCATCTTTGTGTATTACATCTACATCATATGCGAGTTTAACATCAGAAATTGATTCCGGAACATTCAAAACGTGAATGCGGTCAGACCAGTTCTTTTCCTTTTTAAACAGCACCACCCTCTGTTTCATTTAGGCTCTCGCAGATTTTTACCTCTTTTAGATTTTCTTTCTGTTTTCTGTAAAATCTTAAGAAGAAGCTTTGGATCTCCAGAGTAAAAATGTACTACAAGATTTGATTTTGGAAAGACGCGGATATTATCAAAAGTAACACTGCAGTGAATGTTTGGTCGCAATGAGTCCCTCTGATCCTCATGTCTGCAGCTGCATCCTCTGGCTCCTGAAAGCTTCACGAGCTACAGCCATCTCAGCCACAGCATCAGCAGCCAACTGGACTCGTCACCCGAGAGCAGCGAAGCGGGGGGTGATATGACCATTTCTCGAAATGGTAAGATCCTTCTTCAGATGTGGTGTTCATTATGGAACATGTTAATACCTGCAGAGAAGCTTTTTGTTTGTTTGACTTCATTAAAGTACTTCCAGTGATTGTTCGGTAAAAACACAGCATGACATATTTATTCCAGCAATCCCTCAAATATCTACCTGTTCTGTTCTTTTATAACAGTGTGGACAGACAGATTAGCTACATGAGTCACTTCATTTATTTTAGTGTCCCAAAACAGCAAGCAAATGTCTTCACATCACATGCAGAACATATAGAAGGTGAAGATTGTGAATGCAACACAAACCTACTTAACCATCTGCCTTCAGAAATGAACAACTGGACAAGCGTCTACTTTTCTTCATTTTAATCTTGCTTTGAATCCAGCTGTTTTGGGGAGGCCCCGGAGGTTTGGTAGAGAGCATTAGAGGACAAACAGCATCATGTTTGTTGAGGGCTGAGCAGGAGGAAAAACGTCAAATATTAAGACATTAGGTAGCTAGTAGTTGTGGATCTCGCAAAAACGATGAGAAAGACAGCTTCCATTAAACGTATGAAAGGAAGTTCTCTGGTCACCAAAATAACACATTTTGTCTTGGATATTAAACGGTATGGGTGACGGAAAACTAACACCCTGAAGACACCATAAAAACACGGTGAGGTTGTGGTGACTCTTCTCTGCATTCATGGATTTCTTTGTGTTGCTCTATCATAAAATCTAAATAAAAAACTTTGAGGTATATTGCTGTCATGTGACAAATTATGAAAGTGCAGTGCAATCATCCAACCAATAGACACGTTAATGCATCACTATGTCCTCATTGTTTGGTAATTCCTGTGTGAAAATGCAGAAAATAGCGTTTTCCCCGGCACAAATTATATTTTACATCTTAAAACGAAAGCTAAGCAGAAGATACTTCATATGAATCATTCCGATTTTTATCCCTCACCTAAAATATTTATTTTACCATGTCTGCACAGAACGGCAGCAGATCCTTAAAGGGGTTCAGAACATTGTGGTAAAAGCAGCCCGTCGACGTTCCAAAGCCCTGGAGGTGGATGTCCTCCGGTTACCTGCTGCCCCCTCTCCCCTAGACCACAAAAAGCAGAAAAGCAACCTCTCTTTAATCGAGGGGCCCCCTAGAGGCCTACCCTTGCGGCGCGGCAGGCAGCCGAGCCCTGAACTGAGACACGCCACCTCTGATGATAACCTGTCCAGCAGCACAGGGGAGGGACCGGGCCTGCACGTGACCTGGACACGTCCTCGCAACCACCACGCTGCCAACAAGAACCAAACACCTCGCGAGGTGGACTTTGAGGCCCGTCGCAAGAAAAGACGCTCAAGATCTTTTGAGGTCACTGGTCAAGCAGTGAGTCATTTTAATTTGTTATTAAATGTTGTGAAGTGTGAAATATTTTTGAAGGTTTTCGTCTCAAATCATTTTGAGCAAATTCGTAGCCAATTTGAAGGGGCTGTGATTTTGGCTACTTGAAATTCTCGTGAAGTGCAAGCTACTCTCTCAAAATGCACTTCTTGGATTGTCACATTTGGAACTTAGTGAAATACCAAAATGATGGAACTGCATATTGAAAACCAGTCATTGGTTCTACGACAGCTTTGACAGTTCTTGTCACGTGGCAGTTTGTTTGGCTGAGAGAACCATCGACGCTCTGGCATCTAAGTTGTTGCTTCAGTCCTAACATTTCCTCACTTCTCTCTCATGCAGCTGCCTCAGACCAAAGCCATCACAGCTCAGAGGTTTCGTCCTCTGGACAGCACATCGGACCCTCATCTTCATGTTAACGGCCAACCCCAGGCCCCCGTGGTGCGTCCACAGTACAGAGGGGTCCCTCCTATCGCCAAAGTCAGGCCTCACCACAGCAATCACACACATACAGGTGACCAGTCATCCTTGCTAGTGGATAGAAAGTGACATTCTTTATGGTTCAATCTCTTTATTTTATTCATTTGTCTCCATAGGAACAATTGCCGAGTCCTCCACAGCCAGCATTAATAACCTGAAGAGAGGACCTCAGCTCCGACAGCCCCACCCTCTTCTCTATGTCACCACCACAGGCACCGGGGCCCAGCGCACTCGCAGACACTGAGCTCAACACCAGCACTTAAAGCTACCCCAACTGCGCCTGAAAGGCAACAGTTAGGGACTAGTGGAGAAACTATGACAGAAAAGGACAAACAATAAGCAGACAAAGCCTGGATGTCTTAACACAGGTGCTGTCATCTGCGTCCACCATGTATGAGGCCACACTAAGATCCACTTACCTGAAGACACCACAGATTTGTACATTAACAGTGCCCATTCTGTCCTGTGCGGTGTCTTCACTTCAGTCCGCTGCTGTGCTGAATATCTTGTGTTTTGGTGAAGTTGCGAAGATGTGAAGCTCACTGTGAACGCAAGTCAGTTGTTTGTTGTGACTGTTTCTGT